CTACTGTTACTAATAATAATAATAATCATCATAATAATGATATAGAGAGTAAAAATGGATTAAAGATAATGGAAACTTTTCCGATTTTTGGTTCTTTGTAAAGAGAAATAAAAGTAAAAATTAAACTGAATACGATTTTTGTTATTAAACCTAATCTCAGTTACATTTTATTACTATCAATTGCACCTTTATATTCAATCTTTTTTGTTGAAATTCAGGCTTCTTGATTCCTCCTTCGTCTTTCAGTTCAAATTACCATAGATACTAGTGCTCAGGTTATCAGTTACTCATGTAAAATGAGTCGACGCTTTCGTTGTTATTGTATTTCTAGGTCAGCCGGAAGTCGGCGTAGGCTGAGTGAACGCTGTGCTTAAATTGAATGTTCACGAAATTCTGTTGGATGCATGTTCAGAAAGTTCTGTTGGATTCTTTGTGGGAAAGAGTATTTGTTATGATAGATATGAAAGATTTGAACAGAGTTCATCAGAGACATCATGATATCTGAACAATTTACATTAGAAGACTTGCGATTTTCACTTCAAATCCTAAAATTGTTTTTTTGTAGCTCTTATCAAAAAGTGAAACTTTTTACAGAAAATTATTTTGATTGGAAAATTAAATCTTTAACTCTTCATGGTAGTATGCTGAAAGCTTAAGACTCGAATGAAATTTTGATTTAATTTTGAATTCATTTTTAGTCGATTTAGGAAAATTTTAGCCTAAGACACATTAATAAGTAATGTCTTCCTTTATCGGGTCAATGCTTCCTTTCATCAGCTCAGATTTCAATGTATCATATCAATGGTCAGAAGCATGTACAAAGATTGTCTCGAAGAATGAAAAAATCTCTCCTCATTCTGAAAACATAAGTCTTGCTCCGCTCAGGCTGAAAATATAAAGTCTGAATTTGGTGAATTGAGTTTGATCATTTCAATCATTTTTCAACTTCAATTCCCAGCGCAAGTTTCAATTTAAATTTCCAGTAATTTTTTCAACGAAAGGATTTTCATGTGGTTGAAACTGTGCCATAATGGATTCAGTTAATGATTCGAGTTTGGATGAAACTTTGTACTAAATTTTTATTCAAACCTTTTGTCAATTGGATTTAAATTTTGAAAGTGCTTAATCAAGATGAACTTGAATTTCTTGAGATTATGACTCAATCTCAAGGTTTGCTTCGCAGTCGGATTACGAAGCTTTCACAAGCACCTGACTTTCTTGGCGAAACTCAGTTTTTCCAATTCATTCATTTGAAGATCCAACTCACAGTATGTCAAGAATTGCGATTCAATACAAAGTCTTGCGACTTTCGCTGTTTAAACACAAATTGGCATTTGATTTTTGATTTGACTTGATTTCCATTGATAAAGGTTAACAATCAAATAACGATAACCAAAAACTAGAAATATTTATCGAAAAGCTTAAACATCTTAAGAAGCTAATATATATTGTCCTCTAGCGGTTGTTATTACTTTTCCTGATTCCCTTTCTTTTCCTCTTTCCTTCTCTAAAAGCAATTTAAGTGATTGCTCTTGGGAACAGGGAGTTGAATTGTGTGTTTAAAGGTATGATGCTGAGATGATATATTCACTAGTTAAGATGACATGCGAGTATAGCTTGAATAAGTTTATTGAAATATCACAATTATTCAAATATCAGATTATATTATAATATAATGCATTATTTACATTCAGTAGAATTGAATATTTGAAAAATAATGATAAAAATTATTGTTGAACCAAAACTTGGGTTAAACTTTCCTTTCCTACAAATAACCCAATAACTTGAAGCTTCCGAGATTCATATTAAACTTGATTGAAATAATCATTTTTTCATCTCTTCAGTTCATTCACCTACGAGAAAAAATGAGTTAATTTATGGCTCATTTTTATTCAACTTTTGATCAACATTTTGCTCTCCAGTTTAAGAAGTAAATGCGAAAAAATTGTCTTAAGAGTTGGGACTCGCGGGTTTGTAGGGACATTAAAACTGAGCCCATTTGTGAAATTAAATTAATTTTTTCGAGGAAATCGAGTTCAAAGAGTAACTTCGATTGCCTTTTATAAGTTAGATTCTTCCATCAAACTCATTTTTCTGGTGTAAATTTTGATGGATAACCAGAACTTCGGGAAATAAAATTTACTGTACAAGATGTCACTTCGATTTACGAACAAGTTATAAATTCAACGAAATATCAGAGAAAATCTGACCTGATTTCTTTAATAACGAATATCTTTTTAACACATGATAAGATTTGTTAGATCACTTGAAGGTTAAATTGAAACAAACTCCATTCTAAGTGAGACAATTACTCTTGAAATATCAACATTTATAGCATTTCATTGTCGTTATTATCTAAAAGTGGAAGTAAATAATCATTTCAAAAGTTGTTCAGTAAAGTATATTTTAAAATTGAAATATACTTTACTCTTCACAGTTGGAAGAAAAAGATTTCCTGATTCTTGATTATTTTCAAATTAATTCAAATATTTGCTAACCTTAAGTTTGCCATCTTTTTGTATCCAAAACATTGGCAAACCTTTTTATCACTCCCAATGGGTAACCTCATTTGTTGAACCAAATGAGTTATATTTAATATTAAAAGACTCAGCTGAGCAAAAAAAGAATGAGCGGAAAAACCAAAAATTTAATCCATTCACTTGTAAGCTCTATTTAACAATTTCTACCAAAATCATTTTCATTCAAATTCAAAATAAATATACAAGGTAAAGTTTAAAACGAAAAATGTAAATGTAAATGTAAATCTTTGTGGCTAGAGGTCAATAAGGTCGAAGTTTCCACCAATTCTGTCTCCTAACGAAGTCTAATCTTGAATCAATGAGGTTGCAAATGAAACTGACTGAGCTCGATGGTTTGCATTGAAACAATCAAATTCACAAAAGGAGTCAATCAGTTAAAACTAATGATTTAACTCTGAAGCCACCTTAAGACTTTAGGTGATAGCATCGCTTAAATCACTTAGTGTCTGATAAGCCAATCAGTTCTTCATATTTCAATTGATTCAAATAATGAGATTGACATTTGATTGTTTTGTTTTGTTTATTTTTCTGTGCATTTTCAATGCTCTAATATTGAATCACTATTTACCTGAACTGAACCATTGCTCGAAAATTGACTCAATCAGTAAAATTTGTGCTGTTTATTGATCTTCGATTCGAAAACTGGACTAATTTTACAGGTTAAGCATTAGTTTATTTAGCTAGAATGAGATTTTACTCTTTAACTTGAGTCATTTAGCCTTTAACTCCTCTTGGGTTTACCTTTTATTCAGTTCTTTAATGAACTTTAAGGGAGTGTTATTCAGGCTATAAGAAAGTCCTTTATGAACGAAAATATGAAAGGCTCTATTCAACGTTGATTAAATTAGTTTATTTTAAACTATTTTTGCCTAAAATTTGATTCTGTCTAATCTAAAGAGTCTTTTTCATATTCATTCAGTGCTTTTTATTGTTTTCATTTGATGTTTCAATTCAATTTGAATTGCAAGTTTGATGCAGAAATAATGAGTTGGAGTTTGTGTATAAGCTGATTGAACAGACCATAATATGAAAACTATTTTTACTTTGTACTTGATATTATTGATAATATTGTTAAAAAATTTAAGAAAAAATGAGTTTATTTAAATAACAACAAAGTGGCTAAAATTGAATTGACATGAAAGGTAATTTAACTCTTATTACTTTTTCATCTCGAAATGAAAATCAGTGAAAATAATATTAACCATTGGCTCAATATTTACTTGATATCTCGTTTCAGATATTTTTACCTGTTTCTTCCAGTTTCACCTTGGCTCGTTAGTTTACTCTTTCATCTCATTTTTATTAATATCAACTTACAGGGAGTGTGATAAAATAAATTATATAAAACTGCCTCAAGTGACAATGCACAAAATGGATTAATATAGTCATCTATATATCTATACAATATATACATTAATATAAATACATACATAAAGACAATATACATGTATAAAGTCAAAACATCAAATTTCTGCGGCGAAATTGTGCCGAAACTGAGCGGGTTCTAAAGAAAATTTTTCAATTCCATCAAAGCCATGATCAAACTTCAATTACCAAAAACACTCAGAACTCTTTCTGAATTCAGGTTACGGAGAAATTTGCGTTTGAATAAAGTGGGGAACCATGTAGAATCCGTATTTCTAACTATTGAGTTTGAAGGGAAAAACTTTTTTGGTTCAGTTTGATGGTTTATTGTTGGATCCTCATATACAAAACTGTCTTTCGAGAGTGAATTTGGCGAGAAAATCTGGTGACTCAACTACTCAAGAAGAGAACAAAGTTTCCACTTTGAACTAAGAAATTTTACTCTGACTTTCGAGTCAAGAGTTGCGACCTTTAGTGACATAATAACTGAACTTAATTTTTCTGATCGACAGCTTCTGATCAAACTTGAATTGCCCTCTGTTCAGTTGTAGAAACCGATTTTATTTTAGTTTTTATACATTTCATTTTCTCATTCGGACGAGGCTTTTTTCATTAATATTTTGTGCCTTTAAAATGTAAATTGATTGATTATGCTCACAAGATTTGTCAGTCAAAATAATCAGTAATGATCGCTTGTAATGATGATAATAAAAATAACATTACATCAAGTAATGCTAAAGTTACATTTCTTTCAAGTACTAATTACCTTTTCAACAAAAAGGTAAATCTTTGAAATGTTTGTATTCCATTCGCAACCTTCAGCCATTGAATTTCAATGAAGTCTACTTTGAATACAGTTGCTATGGTTATCATTTCAGTTTAATTTAACTTTTATTATCCATTGAATATTTGTATTGTTATTATTTCCAGTTTTCATGATAATAGCAATGATAATGATAAGGTGAAAAGTATGCAAAATGAGAAGAAAAGAGAGAGAAAAAATCACTTGTAAGATTGATATTGAATCATTTTCTGCATCGATTATTAATTAAAAAATTGAATCGTTATACTAAACATTTCCTTTTCATTTTACAGGTTAGCCTAGATTCTCGAGTTCGTGAAATAATAAACAAGAACATGGTTAATCCAAGTCCTCGCACTTTTGACGAGGCACAGCTGCAAATATATACACTAATGCACCGTGATTCTTATCCACGTTTTATAAACTCTCCGATGTATCGGAAGCTGGCTCAATTACCTTCCCCAAGTCGCAAAGGAAGCACTGCTTGACGATGATTGTTATACCAGTTGATTAACTATCCATTTAATAAAAGTTACTGTTGATGATGGATGATCAATTTTTTATCCTTTGGTTTATCAAACATTGGAAATCACCTTTTATTTACTTTTGTATATTCAATGTTTCTCTGTTAACTACTCTTCTTGATCCTGTTCATTTTTTGAAACCCTTTGGTTATTTTGGAGGAGAAACATTCAGAGGAAAAAGATTAATCCATCAATTTAAATGCACACTTGGTTCAGTTGAAGAACCCATTGCAGAGGCCAAAAAGGATTCCAGACTTATCTATGGATCTTTGATCAAATCATGAAGCAAATTTTTTCTCTGTTGTCTAATAGTTGCTATTCAATCATTTAAGGATTAATCACAATTTGCTGCGATATCACAATAATGGGTTTAAATGGATATTTTGGTGTAAAAGAAAGGGACAAATTTACCAAACAAGCAAACAAGCGTTACCACGAAGAAAAGTACAAATTGCCGTTTGATACTCAATAATTGTTATCGAGCTGGTAGTAATTTTAATTCTGATTAATTGACTTCCAGCTGATTAGTTTTAAGGATAAGCTGTTGTTCAACAAAGAGCCTTTCTTTTGTAAAAGTCATTCTGTCCTTTCTCATCGACTAAAGGCAAAACCACAAAAACCAAAAATGTCACAAGTATTTGCTATTTGCTTGTTACTGTCAGTACCAATGTATACCTCACCATCGCCATCAAATTGTTCAAAACAAAAGTCTCACAACGATCTGCAATAAGTCCTTATGGACTTATCGTGTTTCATCAACTTGCTTTTTTGCTGTATCGCAATCATCATCGTGATCTTCATCATTCCATAAATTTTCATTTCCCTGTTGAAACTCACCAAAGAGTCTTTAATGGTTGGATACAAAACAGCAAATAAACTGCTAAAAGGCCTAAACTGTTGATTAGTTCAATTTGTATCACCAGAGACGGTTAAAGTGAAAATTATTGTTCCAGCAACTTGAACCTCGCGCTCTTTTTGGTGATGAATTGAAAAGCCAACATGAATAGTACAACCATTGAAAAAGTAACCGACCATCATTTTTAGTCCCTGAATTGTTCTTAATTTTTGCACTAATTTTCTTCTTTTTCATTTAATTACAACTCTAAATGTTTGAAAACATTCTCGTCAACAGCATCTCTTCAAATCAACACAAGCAATTAACATGGATCCAATTCTCTCACCTCTTTTACCTCGTTTCATCTCAAGATCCTATGGGAACAAGTGATTATTAATTTCATCAATTGTTACTTTTTACTTATTACACGAGATTCATTAATGTTTACACATACAACAACACACACACAAAACTCCACATTCACTCAACTCTTTAACATAACATTGATAACACAAAGTGAGGATAAAATAAAATAACTCAACATCAAAATTATACAAAAATTCACCCGAATCGTCACATCAACTCTCATCACCTTGCCATATTAACATTATTACAAATTGATACTTATTATATATATAAATATATATACATAAAGAAACGTTGAATGTTTTTTTTGGACAAAAATTAACCGACAAAAACCAAGAATTCAACTCGACAAGATTGAGTTGATTTTTGCAAATTTTAAATTCAAGGGCCATATAAAGACCAAAATCACCGAAATACCATTTTTTTCTGATTATTATTCGACAATTATACACAGCAAAAATCATTAGAAAATTTTCAAATCTTCATTCACACTCTTCAAAAGACAAAAACACAAAATCAACAAAATCACCAAAAAGATCATCTGTTCCTTTTTGATCACAAACTGAATCTTTTTTCTCCTTTTTTGCAAAACAAATTCTATTATAATGAATAATAATGTTACATGTATAAATAAATAATATAAATATAATAGTGAGCTTGTTATAATCAGCACATTCAACCTTTTAATTAGGTAAGTCATTTCAATTAGTGCTTAAACCAAAATGCTATGCCAACAATGTATTTCAAAATTTGCTAATTTGTCTCTTCTTTTCATTTTTACAGAGTTTTTAGACATTTTATCAAAAAACACTTTGGAAACCAAAGCCAGGGTTAACCATGATAATATTTAGTCCATTTTCAATGGAACAAATCTTGTTCATTTTTTTGGAATAAAAGACAGCCCCAAAACCTTATCCTGAACTTGAAATCTTTTTGATTATTAACCGGATTATCATCTTGATCACTGTCACCATCTTCATCAACATTCATTACCAGATTCAACTCCTGTTCAATCCAAAGATAATTTAAATACGATTAAACTTGGACACGTTTCACCAGGCGATCTTATTATTACATTAATTGACATAACCCAAAGATTCACAAGCACAACAATACCAAATACGTGACTCTACACACCAAGCAACCCATCGATTTGCGGCAAATTTACTTTTGGTTTTAAGCTTTCATTTTATAGCTTTGAAATTACCTTTGTTAAATAATGCAATTTTTCAGTTTTCCTCTGTTACACCTTTTTGTTAATTCTTGTTACTAAAATTAGTAAGATTGTTATTAATACGATTCTGATTATATTCAGTTATTACTATACCTATTAATGCGAGAAAGGAGTTTGTTTTGATGTAAATTGGAAGTTGATTTTGACAACAATTGTGAACAAAAACGAGATGATGTAAAACCAACAAAAAACTTGTATTAACTGTTAAAATTGCAATTACTTGAGCATTTAATAGAGACATTTAAAACTGTCAATAACGTGAAAATATTTGCATACTTCAATTTCTTCTTCACCTTCTGGGTTCAACTCTTGAACTCAGTGAGAATAACTGATATATTGTTCACTATTTAATAAAAATGGCAACAAGACTATTAATTTAATTATTAATTTAAACTGAATTCAATGAATTCAATTCATTAATAATTTTGACTTCTGCGCTTTCAAAATATCGGATAGTAAAGGTAGAGTCGATAGTATCGGGAATTTTCTTCGCGCATGGTTATAAGAAAAAACATGTGATTTTTGGCATGTTCAAAACATAATGTTTTCAAATTCACTTTGATTTAAAACTAAATTTTTGTTTATTTAACAATGGACGGAGATCAATCTAAAACTTCATCTAATTCAGATTTCAACGAAAAATTTGACATAATTATAAGGTATTTATTAATTTCCTAGCTCGCTTAACAATTGTTAATGATTGATTTTATTTTTTCAACAGCATCCTTAAGGATTCCATCAAAGAAAAAAAGTCTTCTAGTACCAAAAAGATTGTCAATTTATTAAATAAAGCTCTTGGTGATAAAGTTGTACTCATTGAACATGAATACGTTAAGCCTTATTTAAGAATTGGTCTTATTGTTGACCAAGAACATTGTTTTGAAACCATTATAAAGGGCCCATCAGCTGATGAACCAGAGGCAAACGAATTTCGTGAATTTTGGGGAGAAAAATCGGAATTAAGAAGGTTTCAAGAAGGATCCATTAGAGAAACTGTGTTTTGGAAATGTGACACTGCCGCTGATAAACGTGCAATTATTGGAAAAATTGTAAAATACATTTTGCAAAAACATTTAGGAATTCAGAAAAAGTTGGTCACAATCTCTGGTTCACAATGTGACTCTTTTCTTTGGCCTGGAAAACTTTCGATTCCTGGTTATGGAACTGGTGAAGAAGCTAACCAGAATATAGTATTTAATTTCGATAGTTTCGCTAAAAAGTTGAGAGGCTGTAAAGATTTGCCCTTAACCTTATCATCAGTTCAAGGAGTGTCGCCAGCTTTTCGTGGTACAGAGGTTTTCCCCAATCCATCTGTCTTGCCTAAATATCAACAAAGATTATATTCCAACAAAGAAAATTGTTTTACTTTTCGGGAAAATACAGACAATGTTCATCCGAGTTATATTGAGCCAGTCGATGGTAAGTTTTTAAACCCTTTCAAACAAATTTTATGCTCTTGTTTAATTTATGTTTCTCTTCTTCTAGTTATTATTCATTTCGAGACGAGTGGTAAATGGCCTTCAGAACTTGAAGCCTTAAAAAGAGTAAAAGCAGCTTTCATAATTGAATTGGCCGAGTTATTATCTAATCAGTATGGACTAATGTGCAAACCCCAAAAAAGATATCTGGATGTATGGCATGAAGGGGTTGTTTTCAGGGTACACATAGCATGTAATAAAGAAGTCCATCTAATGAAAAATATTATTACATCTGAAGGAGTCGTTAAAACTATTGAATCCAAAGAAGCTGAAAGATTGAATCAATTTCAGGTACACTTACCCATTATATCAAGTGCATTGGGTAGTGTGAATTCTCGTTTTTCTGCCTTCAGCTCTGTTACTCGTTTAGTGAAGTGTTGGTTATCCAGACATTTATTATGGGATAATATTGATGAAATTTCAGTTGAATTAATGGTCGCTTACCTTTTCCTGCATCCATCTCCGTACTCAGCTCCAATGTAAGTTGAAATATTTTAGATTTACTCTTTCGTTATTTTTCATCTCTTAATTTTCTTCCATCTTTTCGGTATTTCAGGTCTCCGCTCACTGGTTTCATCCGCTTTTTAAAATTATTAATTTCCTTCCCATGGAATCGTAAACCTTTGATTGTCAACTTCAATGATCAATTGAAACTCGAAGATATCCGAGAAATCGAAACTTATTTCAAAGCGAATCGAAATGAATTGCCTTCAATATTCATTGCTACATCTTTCGATAAAAAGAAGTCAATGTGGACTCAAGAGAAACCATCAATTCCAATTTTCCAACGATTGGTTTTCTTGGCTAATAAATGTTACAATTACTTGAATGATTGTATTGATACCATTGATAAGGCCGATTTTCAGGTATTAATTGAATCGAGTTTTTGATGCTTTATTTTTCTTTACAATTTTACTAATTTATTTCCTCTTGATAACAGCCTTTGTTTCACACATCCACGAAGATTTATGATCTGACGATAACTTTGGAGAAAAAGCATGTTCCAAATTTTCATCTCAACCTTAGTTTCATTCGGACCAACAAAATATCTGAAAAACAATTGCAGTCAATGACAAAGACCAAGGATAAAGAATCAATTGAATATTTCCCGATTGTTGGTTTCAATCCAGTTAAACATTATTTGGATACATTGAAAGCTCATCTCCACAATTGCGCTATTTTCTTTTACGATAGATTTGGTGGAACCAAGCTATACTTAATCTGGAAACCAAACGCTTTTGATAACGAGACATTAAATATATCGGATTTCACTGATTGGAAACTGGCTGCCGAAAAATGTAAAAGTGGCTTTTATAATACTTCATTCAATGCTGAAGCTGTTCTTGAAGATTTGTACATACTTGGCGATGGTTTAGTGAAATCTATCGATATAAACGATTCCTAATTGACTAGCACCAAATTAAACATTTAAATTATTATAACGTATGGATGCGAAACTATTGACTGTTTTCAATTATTGATATCATTATTACGATAAACAATTTAGTTTACAAAATGGAAAATAAATTTTGGTTCAAATAAAAAAGTTGCTATGGTGATAATTTCTGTTTAACTCTTAACATCATGACTCGAATTATTTATATTGTTTCAGTTGCATGCTAAAATGACAATAATAATGATGACCTATCAAAGTGTAAAACGAGGAAAGCAAACAACTTCAAAACAAAGGAAAGGCAAAAAAACTCAAGAAGGACTCATAAATAATTGGTCTATGGATCCATGGACCAAATCATGAAGCAAATCGATTTCAACAATTTTTTGTTTTCGAAGCTCAATGAATCAATTCTGTGAAACTCTATAAACAACTCAGTGTTCAACAACTAATTTATTGGAATGTAAATTATGCTTAAATATTTAAAAAGCTGTAATAAGACTGTTTGTTAAATCGTATAAAGACTCCATTTAAAGAGTTTACTTAAAATTTGTAACATCTTTACAAACAATAACGGACAATAAATTTAAATTTTCAAGATCAATTGAGATTTATTAAAATTATTTATGTACCAATTGCACCCGAAAGGGAAACAAATCAATAAATACAATAGAAACGAATTTGTTTTCTTTAAATCAAATCAACAATAGCTTAAATTGTTTAAATTTTGTGAATAATAATTTCGATACTTTTGATTTCAAGATTGCCATATCCAAATTGAAAATCTTATTTACACAAATTTGCCATTTATCCAAATGTAGTTATGAATCCATGAAATTGGGTGATCTCCATTGAAGCTTGGGTTTACCATTGGGTAAATTGAGAATCAGTGAATTGTCACTGTTGTTGCCTCTTCCTCCTCCTCCTGATTTGTCCGCACTTCGAGCTCCATTGAAAAGGCCATTAATGTAAAGGGAAAAGGCAACTCGAAAGCGAGTCGACATCACTGAGTAAAGGATTGGATTAATACTTGAATTGAGATAATAGAAGACACCTGATTGAATCAAATGGAAAGAGAGTTAATATTTCAAATCATTATTTCATTTCTGTAATTAACTCACCAGCAAGAAGGAACAAGATTTGATTAACGCTTCGAAGTTTGTTTGACCATTCAGAATACAGTGAAACGTACAAAAATAACAATCTTTGAGCATGAAAAGGAGTCCAACAAATGGTAAACGCAATCACAATTGCCACTGAAATAACAAGCAAAACAATATTAAGAGTTGACTAAAAATTTTCGATCATCATGAATCAGACTAAACTGACATGATGCATCAAAGTGTTAAGTCTCAGTGTGTTTCATTTGAAGTCTTAATATTTCAAGTTTTCTTTTACCATGAAAATTGCATTTGCACAGTTATCTGTTCATACACAAATAAGTTTCATAGAATATGAAAATTATTGATTGAAAAGAGTTGAAGAGCTTTTTGAAAGTCAAACAATGGATCAATAACAGGGTCAAAGATTTCATGGATTGACGTTTGTAAACTTCAAGTACAATCGCATTTGAATAAATGTTCAGCATTGAACTAACTATACTCAAATCTCATTGCGCATTTTGATATTAAAAGTCAATTAACTTTTTAGCCTCATTATTGATTATAATCATAGTTTGGAATCAAAATTGTCAATTGCTAAATGGAGAACCAAATCAAACTTCAAATCCTTCAATTAATGATCCAATCAAACTCTATGCTTTCGAAAATTCTAAACCATTTGCCATAGTAAAAAATCATGTTAATTAGCATGAAAAAATACTCTAAACTCGCTTATTACGGTAGTTTAGTCGCCGAAAGCCTTAAGGATAAAAAGCAAAGACTCGAAGGCAAAGATACAGTTTACCTTGGAAGAAGTTTTTCTGACTAAAAAAAGGAAGAACTGCAATTCTGGAAAATACTCACAACAGCGATGATTTCATGATTAAGATGATGAACAACAGTTGATTGTAGATGTGAATGAAATGCTAATCAATCGCTTATTACATTATGTTACCTTCAAGGTTCAATTACCACTAACAGCTGCTATGAGAACTGGTCTAATCTATCAATGGCTTTTACTTCAAGTGGCCTTTGTTTATGTTGATTTTGCGCTTTGATAACTCAATGTAACTTGCAAGTCAATTGATTTTATTACTTGCAGGCATCTAATTGTTAGATTAGCAAAGATTCGTAATAAACTGTGTAATATTGTCTAAGAGTCTCTTTAAGAGGTTAAAAGTGAACAATTACAATTGCAGTCAATGCCTTCTGGGCCAGTCTAGTGTCTATCGATTTTGACTCATGAAATTATGTTCCTGACTTGGAAACAAATCTGTAAAGTTTCAATGTTTTGAGAAGCAATTATTTTTGGTGAAATATGAAAACATTGAGATGACCAAACACTTGCTATTGACACAAAACTTACCTAATAATCTGATGACAATTTTTCGCGATTGCATGATTTTACGAGAACAACGTTGATCGTTCAGATGAATATCAATGTTTCCAATTGGATCAAGGCGAGTAGCTTTTTTAAGTGTAATGGCAATAAAATAGTAGAGAAGACAGATTATCAAAAGTGGAAAGATGAAGAAGATGATTGTTGAAGTTAACATGATTGTTTCCCATGTTCTGTCTGGATCATTGAAAGGTAATCCACACCAGGCTGACTCGATTAAAGGTTCATCATCAATATAAAGATAATTGATTCGAGTGTACAAAGCCAATGGGACAGCACCAAGTAGACCAAGTAACCAGATTAAGACAGTGTTACGAGTAAATCGATTGCGAGTTGAGCTGCTCGAGTTTATGTTTGGTGGCGGAGTTTTGGGCGAACCACAAATGGCCGAATATCGCTCCAATGTAAAGGCCACCAAAGTCAATATGGAGGCGTTTGCTGTCGTCTCGGGAATCAACACCTTCAATAGACATGGAAGTCCACCCAATTCCCATGGATACTGATGCCAGAGTTGATAAAGTTCCAATGGCATTGCTAATGCAATTTAAGCAAAATTAATTATTAATAATCAACCGATAAATTTTTTTCGAAGAAAAGTGTTCATTGAATTATTGATTGTCTCCATTTTAATGATTCTTATTTTGGTTTCGAAATGTTGGACAACTCGACAAGTTATCTCTTGAAACTCTAAAATCGATTGAAAATTAATTACAATTAGCATTCGAAACTAACATTGAATAGGTTCATTTATTATTAAAGAATCTATTTTTAACTGTAAGCTGATTCCGAAGCTCAAATGTCTGAGAAAGTTATTTTATTACAAATATCTTAACACTATTACCTTAATGTTTCCAACATAAATGATTATCTTAACAAAGGAATTAAGCTCTACGTAAATAGCCAGACTGCATTGAATCAAATATTAATTGCGAGTAAATTCAATTAAATTTGATTATTTATTGATCGAACCTGCAACAATTTCCAGAACATTAATATTCATCATTCAATTTCCGTTGAAAGGCAGCAAATGAGTCGAAATAGCAACTTCAACTCGCAAGTGAAGTTCATTAAAATCTCATTAAAAATTGTGTTCTACTAATTCAATTTCAAGGCAAATTTCGATTCTTGCAGAACTAAGTTCAGAAAATATGAATCCAATTATTCGATAATTAATTGAATTAGAATAATTATAGACAGAAAACTTTTCTATTATCGAATAATCAAATCGATTAAAATTCCAAGACTTTTCATTCTCAACCCAATCCTTCCAATTCGTCAAACGAATTTAACTTCCATAAAATTTTTACCATTAAAACGAAAAAGAATAAAATACAGAATAAAAGATAAAAGTGATATTCCTTGGAATAATATTCATCGCCTATCGATATCATGTTGGATGAAAAGCATGAAACTGAATAATCGATATAATAACATATCAATCACAATAAATAAACATCCAAATGACACATTGGGAACAGAATTAAAAGCTTCACCATTTACGATAATAACATGTTATTAAAGCAGCATTAGGCTCAAAATCTGAGCAAACTTATTCAATCTGAATTTCTGCAACAATGATGAACATGGAACAGAGAAAAAAAGTTGATACAAAATTGCATTCATTACTAAACAAAAGGTTGACAAAATTTTTCACGCAATGATTAGTAAACTTGAATTCGTATTAAGAATGCTTCAATTTGTGTAAAACTAATCAATCATAATTAATGACGAAAACTCCAGACTCTGAACATTTCACATTTGGATTCACCTTTTGTTCCAATTTCGTCTCTTCCATCAACCAATTAGGAAACCAGAAAACCAAGTCTAGTTAATCATGAAAACATTTTAACCGTTTTTTCGCTCAAAATATTACGATGGAAAAAATTCGAGAAAAAATGAGAAAATTCGAAAAAAGCAAATTCTATTGACCGCTAATCTTTTTCAAGCCAGTTGATGTAAACACTGAAAGATTATCAAAAACTCCATGAAAGTCAATAAAGTATAAGTTGTGATTAATCGGAATATGAGTTATCAAGCTGGGAGTGTAACTTCGTTGGAGTTTTACCTCCCAATGAAACGCACAAATTGAATGGAATTCAATTAACTTAGAAAATTTTGTTTTCGTTTGTTGGTTAAAGAAAAGGTATTTTTGTCTTTTCTGTTCAATTAAGAGTTGAAATTGAAACTGAATCCAATTAAATTTAAAGTTGACTTGAACATTGAAAACATTTTGTTTTACGCTTGTTCGTCTTATGATTGCATATAAATTTCATTAGAACAACAATTTATATCCATTTTGAATCTTCCATCACATTTATCGTTGCTCTTCTTTTCATCTTCTTCTTCCTCCTTCTTTATCCTGATATAACCAAATAAATTGTGCCCACATTAGCAAGACGATGATAATGATGATAATAATGATGATCATGATCATCAAGCAACATTAACAATGGAACAAGTTAACAGTATAAATCAGGAAAAAGTCATATTTCATGTTGGAAGAATGTTTTCCAACTCTAATTGCATTATGCAGTGCAATTGAAGTTCATCGAAACATTAATAGTAAATGCGTCAACATTCAATTCATGGATTGAAAGCCATTGTTATCACAGAATTAGATTGCGATTGAAACTGAAGAAAAGTAAAAGAAAAATTGGAAAAACAATTTCAATCATTCAACACTTCACTTCATCATTCATTTCAATTGATATTGTTAACAATAATTGACGCTCTAAAGTTCGGCCCAATAATTTCATTAAAAAAACCTTCAACTTGAAATGATATTCAACTTTTGAATGTCAAGTATTTTCAGTTCAACAATCAGATAAAGAGAAAAATTCAATTCAATTCAGTTCTGTGCAAAGATCATAATCAATGTCTAGTAAACTATACATCGACATAAACCATAAACTTCAGATCGAAAGATTATTTCCTTTACGATCAAGAATCGTTTCAACGATCGAACAGTCGAGGCTAGTGTTAAACGAATTTTTGAAGTTCTTTTTATCCGGTCATTCGCCTTTTCGTTCAATAAGATGTTTTACAGTTGAATTTTCGATTCGAGTTCATGGATTAAACTTTTGTTCCGAATCATTGAGTTTTGCTCTTGGATTTGATTTCGTTTTGTTTTTATTTAATGTTGAACTGAAATGTTGTGGTTTTGTAGAAAAGAAGATATTTTTTTGTTTTCTTATCAGTTTATTCAAATTTGAAAAGAGACTGAATGAGCTTCATGTTCATGGTAGAGCTAATCAAGATGTTACGAAAAATCAGAGAATTTTGTTTCTTTGTTCATTCTAATTGGACCGCAAAATGACCTGCAAAAGAACAAAAGAAGAAGATAAATCTGAATAAGAATGGAAAATATGATTCTCTTACAGCTTCCACTTTTCCTTCCCAGTGCATCATTATCATTCTCATACGCATCAAGAGATAAAAGAACTTTTTTTATCTCTTTTCTTACCTCAGTAAATATTTATTGGGCAAACAATAAAACTCCAATCTGGTTAAATGATAAATGTTGCTGTTTCACCAAACCATTTGGATAAAAACAAGAAGAAGAAAATGTTCGTCATTTTGTTCGCTTTTCCATGCAAATGTTCAAGAAGCGAAAAGAAAAGTTTCCAAAAGCATTTCAACAATAATCTCATAACAAGTGAAACTGGCCAAAATAGAAATTCGAAAACAGAAAATTCATATAAATTGTCGAGTAAGAATTGGATAAAAGCAAGAATCAATTGATAATAAAAGCTCAATCAGGTTGGAGAAGAAAATGTTATTTACTTTTTTCTCATTTCATCCAAATTATTCAAGCAAACAGGCTAATCTGATAAACTACAAACCAATTGGTTTCATAGAAAATCTTCTTCCTGTTCTCACCATTCCAATGCTGAACGAGACATGAACTGACCCTGGCCTAAAAAGGATATCAACTATTCCTTAACTTGTTGACTTATCAAGATTAAGTTGAGAAGAAAAAGTTATGAAAAAAAAGACGAAAATGAGGACAAACAAGAATAACAATATCCAGTTGGTTGATTCATGGTCTTGTGGTCATCAGATTATTCATTATCACTCGAGATTAGCTCAACTGTCGATGATAAATGATCTCTTAATGAGCAATGGAAAAAATGAAAATGAACAAAAGCGTAAACCAAACAAGACTCGAATTTTCAACGGAAACAAAAATTTAGGTCAAGGAGTTTAAGTCAACTTTTCATGTTGACTCAAGATGTTATGAAGAAGCACTTTAATACAATAATAAAACGACCATTTGACAGTTTACAGTTGATTCCCTGTTATTCAATCCTTTCTCATTCCCAGTTCCTGTTATTCATTCCCTGATAATTTCGTCTATTCAGTGAGAGCAGAAGAAACAGAAAAAAAGACAAAATCTTGAAACATTTTCATTTCTTTTTATCCTGTTTTCATTCCATTCTCCTCGCTACTGATTTCATCTGTTGTCCAGACTCGATCAGCTTCCTTGACTCTCCAAGACAAACATTTGATTTATATTTGCTTGAGTATCAATGTTAGTAAACAACTTTTCACAGAAACCAACAATTCTATTGAAAATCAAACTTGATTGATAATCTGAATAGTCTGCACTTTTGATGAAGTTTCCTGGAAATTGACAAAATTTATTTCTTCGGTTAACAACGATTAACAAAATTGAACCATTAACCTTTCCTGATTGGTAATAAAGCTTTAATTATTATGATTGCCATAGTTACTATTATCATGTTGCAGAACTAAATTGATGAGTGTAAATAGTTGAGTTAATTTCATTCACCTTTACATTATAACCTTCATTTTAATGAGTAAATTAAGCTTCGAAGCTGGTTTACGCGTAATTTATGATTACCTTTGGATTAATTTGAAATCGATATTTAAACTGTTGGAAGGTAGAGAGTGAATTTTGATTGCCAGTTAAAGTATTCATGAAATCCACATGAACACTTTAACCATCAACAAAAAGCATTATCCCTTGCCTTTGGATAGAAAATTTTCCTTCTCTTTATTTCCTTATTTATTTAATCTCACAATTATTGCATGTCTTGGTCAATTAACAATATTGTGCTAAGACTTTTGGCTTTGGATAAGAAAAAATATCAAAGACGATGAAATTCCAAGTTTTTTTTCATCAAGCTTACAATCTCGTTAAGCCAAGAGTAACGTTCAATTTGCATGTTGCATATGATTATGTTCATTATTTTCATGTTATGCTTTATGTTTACCCTGAAATGTTTCTTCTCAAGGTAAGTTGATGAACTTGCAAGCTTGTGAGCAAACCAGATTCTGCATTTCCAATGTAACCAGACACAATTTTTGTTGCTTTTCAATCACTTGATATTCGTTGTGAACAACTAAAAAAGGAAAATTTTCACTCTTTTCATTCGGAAAAGGTTAAAATGATCACAAACCAAGAAGATTGAATGCTCAACTAGATTATGATCAAATAAATGAAAGACTGGCAAACGAAATTGAAAACGGACTTGGAGTTTAACTATCAATAGAAATGAATGTTTCTTTTA